ATTAGACGTTTGAGGATTTTTGCAAAACCAAGGCTAAAACAAAACTTGGAAGCCCTGGTGACAGTCCTGAATCTCTTTAAGAGAGAAAAACTTGGTGTACCTGTCTGGCTCAGTCAGTAGAACGTGTGGCTCTTGATCTCGGGGTTGTGAGTTCGAGCCCCACATTGGGTGTAGAGATTACTTTTTTTGTTAAAGAATTTATTTATTTGACAGAGAGAGACAAAGCGAGAGAAAGAACACAAGCAGGGGGAGTGGGAGAGGGAGAAGCAGGCTTCCCGCCAAGTAGGGAGCCCGATGCGGGGCTCGATCCCAGAACCCTGGGATCATGACCTGAGCCGAAGGCAGACGCTTAACGACTGAGCCACCCAGGCGCCCCAAGATTACTTAAAAAAAAAATCTTAAAAAAGATAAAAGCTCTATGGAATTTAATAACTTTAACTTCTGATGCTTGCTATTGATATACCACAATGGAAGTTCCATTTTCTGATAAATGGCAACAGAAAATACTAGCTGGGTGACTCAGTCATTAAGCGTCTGCCTTCGGCTCGGGTCATGATCCCAGGGTCCTGGGATCGAGCCCGCATCGGGCTCCCTGCTCGGTGGGAAGCCTGCTTCTCCCTCTCCCACTTCCCCTGCTTGTGTTCCCTCTCTCGCTGTGTTTCTCTCTGTCAAATAAATCTTTAAAAAATATATATGTGTATATATATATATTAGCTTGAATAAATTTAATAATCAGTATGCGTATAGCAAATTCCTGCTCAGTGCCTTTGAATTTTTAATCAATTTTATTGAGGTATAATTTATATATAATAAAATTGAATTTTAAGTATGTATTTGAATTTTGACAAATGCATTTACAGTTGTGTCACTACTGCCACACTTATGAGCGCTAGAACATTTTCATCACCTCCCTGAACTCCCATGCCCCTGGACAGTGACTCTTTCCCACCATTTGATCATAGTGTATGATCCATTTAATGTATTGTTGAATTTGGTTTGCTATATTTTGTCGAGGATCTTTGCATCTGTGTTCTTCAGGGATGTTGACCTGTACTTTTCTTTCCTTGTAGTGTCTGGTTTTGGTATCAAGGTTGTGGTGGCCTCATATAATGAATTCCGGTCTTTGGCAACCACTTACTTGCTGTCACTATAATTTTGTCCTTTTTATGATTTCAAATAAATGGAATCATACTGTATATAGTCTTTTGTATCTGTCTCTTTAACTTGAGATAATGCTTTTAAGATTCATCTATGTCTTTGCATGTATCAGTTTATTCCTTTGTTATTGCTGGGTAGTATTCCGTTGTATGGTTACAATTTGTTTATCCATTCTGCAGATGATCCACATTTGGATTAGTTCTAGGTTTTGATTGTTAGGAAGAATGCTGCTATTAACATTTGAAGACAGGTCTTCACATGGCCATAAGTTTTCAGTTTTCTTGGGTAAAGACCTAGGAGTGGGGTTGCTGGGTCATGTGGTTAAGTTTTTGTTTTATAAGAGCTGGTTTTCCAAAGTGACGGTACCATTTTTCATTCCCATTGTTTATGTACGAGAGTTCCAGATGCTCCACATCTATGTCAAGACTTGGTATGATCAGTCTCTTTCATTTTGGCCATTCCAGTAGGTGTGTAGTGGTATCTCAGTGTAGTTTTAATTTGCATTTCCCTGATTCTAAAAGGAAAATCCTATAGTTTTCTACCTGCGTGGGGCAAAACCCAGTCCTTCTTCCTCTGTTTTTCTCCTGGGTGTCTTTTACTACTCACACGGAGTATACCACTTCTAGTTACCAAATGTGTGGGGCTCCCCACCCCCAATCAATTTTCTGTGACACCAGCTGGGTGTCTTATACTTCAACTAAATTCTGACACTGTTTACCCAGAGATAACATCAGATATTACAGGTGAAGGGCTTAGTCCCACAGGAATACCCCCCCCATCCCTCTGCTTTGGACACCAGTCACAAGTCTAGGTTGTCATCTCTGCTTCTGACTGGTCAGCTATAGACTGGAGATTCTAGTGACCCCTCCTTGGATTCTATTAATTTGCTAGAGTGGCTCACAGAACTCAGGGCAACACTGTTCACCGGTTTATTAAAATGTAAATACAGATGAACAGCTAGATGAAGAGCTACATAGGGTGAAGTCTGGGAGGGTCCTAAGTGCAGGAGCTTCTGTCCCTATGGAGTTGGGGTGTATCACCCTCCCAGTATGGATGTGTTGGACAACCTGGGAGATCTCTGAACCCCCTACTATTGGGACTTTACGGAGGCTTCTCATGTAGGCATGATTATATTAACTCCATTTCCAGCCCTTCTACCCCCTCTGGAGAATAGGACTGAAAAGTCCAGCCTTCTAATCATGGCTTGGTCTTTCGGGTGACCAGTCCCATCCAGAAGCCATCCAGGAGCTCATTCAGAGTCACAACAGAACAAAACATGCTGCTTGTGCTTATCACTTAGGAATTAACAAGGGTTTTAGGAGCCTCGTGTCAATGAGCCCAGTCCAAAACCAAATATTAAAACTAGATGCTCCTAATGTTCTTATCACTTAGGAAATTAGAAGGATTTTAGGAGTCTTGTGCCAGGAACAGAGGGGCAGAGACCGAAATATGTATTTTCTGTTATCTCACACTGATGATTAATGATGTTGAATAGCTCTTGTGTATCTACTTTGGAGAAATGTCTGTTCAAATCTTTTGCCCATTTTTTACTGGTTGTCATCTATTTTTGAGTTATAAGAGTTCTTTCTAATTCCGGATACAAGTCCTTTATTGCATAGGTGTTTTGCATATATTCTGTCCTATCTGGCATGCCTTTTCATTTTCTTGATAGGAGTCTTTCACAGAATAAAAGTTTTAAGTTTTTTTATTTTTTAAAGATTTTATTTTATTTGACAGATTGACAGAGAGGGAACACTAGTAGGGGGAGTGGGAGAGGGAGAAGCAGGCTCCCCACTGAGCAGGGAGCCTGATGCGGGGCTTGATCCCAGGGCCCCGGGATCATGACCTGAGCCGAAGGCAGACGCTTAACGACTGAGCCACCCAAGCACCCAAAAGTTTTAAATTTTGATAAAGCACAATTTATCAATTTTTTTCTCTTATATGTTGAGTTTTTTTTATCTTACTCTAAGACATTTTACCTAATTCAAGGTAAAGATTTCACCTGTCTTTTCTCATATGAGTTCTATAGTTTTAGCTCTTTTATTTAGGTCTGTGGTCCATTTTGAGTTCCTTTTTACTTATCATATGAGGTAAGGGTTGAGAGTCATTCTTTTATATACAGAGAACCAATTGTTGCAGCACTATTTAAACTAATCTTGCCTCATTGACCACATGTATATGTATGTATGTGTGTATCAGTCTGTTTCTGGGTCCTCTCTTCTGTTCACTTGATCTATAGACCGATCTTCATGCCAAAAATACACTGTCTTGATTGTTGTAGCTTTAAAGTAACTCTTGAAATCAGTTAAAGTCTTTCAACTTTATTCTTTTCCACAATAGTTTTCATTACTGTAGGTCCTGTGCATTTCCATGTAAATTTTAGAATCAGTTTGGCATTTTTTTTTTAATATTTTATTTCTTCATTTGAGAGAGAGAACACAGGGAGAGGGAGAAGCAGGCTCCCCGCTGAGCAGGGAGCCCGATGCGGGGCTCGATCCCAGAACCCCGAGATCATGACCTGAGCCAAAGGCAGACACTCAACTGACTGAGCCACCCAGGCGCCCCCAGTTTGGCATTTTCAACAAAAAAGATTGCTGGGATTTTTACTGGGATTGCATTTTATCAATAGATTAATTTGGCAGAGGGGCGCCTGGGTGGCTCAGTTGGTTGGGTGACTGCCTTCGGCTCAGGTCATGATCCTGGAGTCCCAGGATCGAGTCCCACATCGGGCTCCCTGCTCAGCAGTGAGTCTGCTTCTCCCTCGGACCCTCCCCCCCATCTCATGCTCTCTCTATTTCATTCTCTCTCTCAAATAAATAAAATCTTTAAAAAAAAAAAAAGATTAATTTGGCAGAAATTGACATCTTAATTATATTGAAAATTTTTATCTGGGCTTTGATTTTTGGATATTCATTTTATATTTTACTAATATCCATGAAGCAAGATTTATTTATTTATTTATTTAGTATTTTCATTAATATTCTGTGGAAACATTGAGAAGAATTTATGTTGAGTGTTCCCAACTTCCCCTTATGTGACTGAATGAAGATTTTTACCAGACAGAATAGGACCAGCTCTTAGATTTGGTTCCTTTTTTTGGTGAGCAAAAGAAGAAAGTAAAAGAGGAAGGTAAATAATTTTTGACTAACTTAAGAAGGTCTTTATAACTGTTAAACCCCGTGCAAACCAGTGACATTATTTATCTCGTTTTAAGCCTAGATCTTATCCCCATCACATAAAATTAATATATCTTCTTAATTATCTTCTAGATCAGTGCTTTTCAAATTATGGTTTCAAAACATTTTTAGTATCATACACAATGTAGTAGCTTTAGAGTTTTTTGAATAGCACCTGGTGCCCTAAACTACTTGATGAAATTTTAATTTGGGGAGATTGATTCCTGGCACGGTGTTAGTGGTGGCACAAAATGTAAACTGCTGATGGGAGCAAATGAGAAAATCCTAAATCTGGGGTCTCCTTTCTTAAATTTAGGATAGACAAAAAGCAAAGAGATTAGAAAACAACCTTCCGCTTCTTGGAAAATTTGATACTCTGTGACTTAAAAAGTTTGCCTAAGTCTCAGTTTAATTTAACGATTTCCACTGACCAGCCTTGAGTAAAAAAACATATTTTGAATGTTGGAAGTGGTCTCTGTTTTTAGGATTCTAGGTTAAAATAAAAATGAAACAAGTAAAATTCTGTTGTTTGAAATTGCTGGAATATTTTCATAAGTAGAGGCATAACCAAAATCATTAGCTGGTACCAGAACCACTGCCTTCTCCTCACTTTCATGGAAATTTTAATCTAGAGAAGCAAATCTCTTACCCTGGGTTTTGTTACAGCTAGTCCTCCTCGATTTGTGACAGTAGAAGAACTTCTAGAGACAGCGAAAGGAGTCACTAACATGGCTCTAGCCCATGAAATTGTAGTAAATGGAGACTTTCGGATTAAACCGGTTGAATTACCAGAAGACAGGTAAGGTGGTTACTGAGTTACCTTGTTTAGTGGAACTCTGCCATTTACCAGTTCTGGAAAGGGCTTCTCCACTTGATGTCAGTATATTCAAATGTAATTTTTCCTTTTGTATGTCGGTGCTCCAAAAAAACCCCACAGTACGTCTATACTTGGAATCACTGTTGTTTGGAAATGGATCTCAGGACCACTGATCATAAATAAAAGGTCTAGGAAGTCTCCTGTGGACATCTTTCATGTCAGCTTCTCCCTACTGCATAGGACTTAGCTGTCCTATCTTGTGTTTTCGTTGTATTGTTTCATTCATTTCTTGTAACTATCACATCGTACTATAGTTGTTGGTTTACTATGTTCTTCACCAGAGTGTAAACTCTACAAAAACAAAGATTGTGTTATTTTCTATGTCCTTAGCACCTGGTACATAGCCTATTAAATCTAAAACTCTTGATAGTAAAGTGTACCTTTTAAAATGTATTGCCATAAGAAAGAAAAATCATTGCCTGTTATAATTGTAAAAGTGCTGTGATAAACATTGAGAGTCTGTTAGCCAAGGAGGAGGAATGGCTGCTGGGTTGCCAAGCTATAGTGTCGCCCACATGGGCCTTCTGTGACTTTATGGACATTTCTTCTATGTTCTGCAAAGACAGAACTTTTTCACATTAATAATGAAGAACTACTTGTTTTGCTCTCACAATATACTTTTTTTTTTAAGATTTTATTTGTAAGTAATTTCTACACCCAGTGTGGGGCTCAAACTCTTAACCCCGATATCATGCTCTACTGACCAAGCCAGCCAGGCTGGTTTTAATGAGATGTTATATGTTAGTTTTACAGTTTGGTACCTAATTAAGCAAGTGTCTCATAGATCACGTAGGAATAGGATATTTTTTGGAAAAAAGTCCTTCAGCCTATATACATGCTGAGTTGTTATCTTAAACTACTTAATCATAAATATCTTAAGAAACTTAATATCTTAAGAAAATTAAGAAAACAGCTCTGAACTTTTCAGTATGCTTTTAATCATATGGCACTGTTATATGCTATTAATTGGCCCAATGTGATCTGTCCAATGAGTTGAAAATTATTCTGTCCAATGAGGTATTTATTGAAATAAATCACTAAACTTAAAATAAGGTATATCTGGGAAGTCTTTTCTTCATCCAAATTATTTTTAAAATTTCTCACCCTAAACCTATAGAATTTGTGCTTTTGAGAGTGATTTGAGGCTCAAATATTTTATTTATTTTTCTTTTTTCATTTGTTTCCAGCTTGGAGAAGAGAGTAAAGGAGATTGTACATAAAGCTTTTTGGGATTGCTTGAGCGTCCAGCTAAGTGAAGAGCCCCCAACATACGACCATGCCATCAAACTTGTTGGAGAAATCAAAGAGGTGAGGCAGAGAGCAAACTGTGGTGCTTTTCTGGCGCGTTAGGAGTATTCAACCTCTCTGTGCTACTGCACAGAAGACTGGAAGGAAATTGAAGGATAAGCGAAAGTACTTGCTGAAATGTGGATTAAGACTATTTTTGGCTCAATGCCCTTTTAAAAATTTGAAACAAGCTATGATAACCTGAAGGTTTTATGTTTGTAAATGAAGGTATATATTTAAAGATTTATTTATTTATTTAGAGAGCACACATGCAGGGGCAGGGTCAGAGGGAGGGAAGAAAGAATTCAAACAGACTGCACTGAGTGCGGAGCCCAACATGGGGCTCAATCTCCCAACCCGGATGACCCTGAATTCATGACCTGAGCTGAAACCAGGAGTTGGACACTTAACTGACTGAGCCACCCAGGTGCTCCTGAAGGTTTATATTTTTAGAAACAGAATCATTTAAAGAAAACAAAAGTTATGTTACAATATAGGTCATTTATAAAAATTTTAATAGGTGTGGATGTGTTCAGTTTATAATGGACAAAAAGTGATTCAGTCTGTGGGATAGAGAAGGCATTAAGTAGAAGTTAAGACTCTTTCTGCAAACGCCTTTAGCAGTCATATCGAAGGAGAAATGCATCCGTGAAAATTGGCATCTATGGTTGGCTCAGAGGCTCATGTTAATTATGTTTTTTCTCACTTTTAACAGTTTATCTTTTATCTGGCTGACTGCTATATAAACCTTAAATGGAAGCTTAAATAGTTACTCTAAATGATTTGCAAACGGGCAGCTGGCTGGCTCAGTCAGTAGAGTGTGCAACTCTTGATCTCAGGGTTATGAGTTCGAGCCCCATGTTGGGCATAGAGCCTACTTTAAAAATAAATAAATGAGGGGCGCCTGGGTGGCTCAGTTGTTAAGCGTCTGCCTTCGGCTCAGGTCATGATCCCAGGGTCCTGGGATCGAGCCCCATATCGGGCTCCCTGCTCAGTGGGAAGCCTGCTTCTCCCTCTCCCACTACCCCCTGTTTGTGTTCCTGCTCTCGCTCTCTCTCTGTCAAATAAATAAAATCTTAAAAAAATAAAAAATAAATGATTTGTAAACATGTTTTCTATAGACTGTTAAGAGGTTAAAATATGTATCACAAAAAAAAATATGTATCACTGTAGCAACTGTATTATAGTAACGATGGATAAGCCCTTATTTGGGTAATTGTAAATTCCTTTGCATATAATAAAAAATGATGTCTGTCTAAGAAACTTTGATTAAACTTGGCTGTGCTCTCTTGTAGACTCTCTTATCTTTCTTGCTGCCTGGTCACACTAGACTGAGAAACCAGATAACAGAAGTCTTGGATCTGGATCTGATAAAGCAAGAAGCAGAGAATGGAGCTTTAGACATTTCCAAGCTGGCAGAATTCATTATTGGTATGATGGGGACCCTATGTGCACCTGCTCGAGATGAGGAAGTCAGGAAACTAAAGGACATCAAGGAAATAGTGCCCCTTTTCAGGTATGGGAATCATGTTAATCACCTTCAGTGTGCTTAAAATACAGAGCCTTTTCTCTCATTCTTTTTAGATTATTCATCTTAGAGTTGGGGGAGGGGGAGAGGGAGAGAGTCTCAAATAGACTCCCTGCTGAGCGTGGACACAGGGCTCAATCAGAGCCTATTTTCAGATTTGGACTTCAAATGTAGATACTCATAAATTTAAAAAAAAATTAAAATGCAAACATTTTGTAAAATACAGAAAAGTAGAAAGAAGGAAAAACAATCACCCATAATTTTGCCATCTAAAGGCAAAAATCACTGTTAATCATGTTGATATTTTTTCTCCCTCAACATTTTATTTTGAAAAATTCCAAACTTACAAAAAAGTTGTAAAAAAGAAAACCCAAAAAACAAAAAACCAGTACGGTGAACACTCATATCCTTTTTACAGATCTCCCAGGTTTTTTGTTTGTTTGTTTTAAAGATTTATTTATTTGAAAGAGAGAGAGGGAGTGTGGTGGAGAGGGAGAGGTGCGGAGCCCGACACGGGACTCAGTCTCATGACCCTGAGACATGACGTGAGCCAAAATCAAGAGTCAGGCATCTAATTGAGCCGCCCAGGAGCTTCCAGACATTATATTTTAGCCTTAAATGTTTGAGTAGGTGTCTCCCAAGAATGTGGACATTCTCCTATATAATCAAAAAACAGGGCACCTGGCTTGTTCAGTCACTAGAGTGTGTCATTCTTGATCTCGGGGTTGTGAGTTCCGACCCCACATTGGGTGTAGAGACTACTTAAAAATAAAATAAGGGGCGCCTGGGTGGCTCAGTCGGTTAAGCATCTGCTTTCGGCTCAGTTCAGGATCTCAGGGTCCTGGGATTAAGGCCCACATCGGGCTCCCTGCTCAGCAGGAAGCCTCCTTCCCCCTCTCTCTCTGACCCTCCCTATGCTTGTGCTCTGTCAAATAAATAAATAAAATCTTAAAACAAGAACAAAAAACAACCAACACATTGAAGAAATATAACATGAATATAATCCTTTTAACATGTAATTCATATTAACTTCCTTTGGTCTTTTGGGTGTTTATTTTTAAACCTAATCGTCATCAAATTTATATCGTTTTTTTTTTTTAAAGTAGGCTCCACACCTAACGTGGAGCTTGTACTCATGACCCCGAGATCAAGAGTTGCATGCTGGGGCGCCTGGGTGGCTCAGTTGGTTAAGCGACTGCCTTCGGCTCAGGTCATGATCCTGGAGCCCTGGGATCAAGTCCCACATGGGGCTCTCTGCTCAGCAGGGAGTCTGCTTCTCCCTCTGACCCTCTTCCCTCTCGTGCTCAAAAAAAAAAAGAGTTGCATGCTCTACCGACTGAGCCAGCCAGGTGCCCCAAATTTATATAATTTTTATGATAATATTATTGACAAGGGATTGACACGATGCTGCCTGATAATTTGACTTTTGGTTAACTGCTTAGCTCTATTTTTCCTGTAAACAGATAAAGGTGTTAGGCATCAAAATGCTACCATGCAACATTGCTTATGGGGAAAGTGACCTCTGATTGGTAAATTGCATCTGGACTAAAAGAAATGATAATGAACTATAAATACTGGATGGGACACCACACGTTGGATGTCCTTTAGGGGAGTAGCTTTTATAACAGGTCATGCCCCTAGTGGAGACACTGGAAGCCATGCCATAGAATTATTACAAAATATATTAGCACCTGAGGCTTGTAAGCCAGGTGGTTCCCATAGGTCTGTCTGCTCTTGGCTGTTACTGGAACTTGCTGAAGAGGAATGGTTGGTGCTGCCTTGTTGGCCAGCTGTGTGACTAGATGATGCCAGACCCGGGGCTTATGGTCGTCTCATGAGCCCAAGTGTTCAGTTGACTCGAAGAAGTCCTCCTGGTGGGCATTGCAGGCCTGACTTTTTCTAGAAACATCATACCCTTAATCATTTCACTTTTTTTTTTAATTGAAAGTGTCATTGATATAATTGTATATTCATGTGGAGTTGTAAGAAATAACACAGTACACTTTATCCAGTTTCCCCCAAAGCTAACATTTCACAAACCTGTAGTATATCACTACTAGAATATTGACATTGATACAATCCAGTGACCTCACTTAGATTTCCAGTTTTACTTGAATGCGTTTTATGTGTATGTATGTTAATTTTTATATAATTGTATCCCCTGTGTAAATTTGTGTATTCACCGCTACATTCAAGGTCCTGGGCAGTTCCAACCCCATAGGATCCCTTTTATGACCAACTTAGATTATTTTTAAAACTCTCCATAAGCATTTGCAATGGCTGCAAGATATTCATTTGCATAGATATAGTTAACTATTACTCTGTTAAGATGGACAATTAGAGTAGGTATAATTATTTGCTATTTAATCCTGCCATGAACATCCTTGTGCATAAAACTTTTTTCTATATTTTAGGTTATTTCCTAAATATAAGGTTGGTTTTTTTTTTTAATTTTATTTATTTATTTCACAGAGAGAGAGATAGCGAGAGCAGGAACACAAGCAGCGGGGAGTGGGAGAGGGAGAAGCAGGCTTCCCGCTGAGCAGGGAGCCCGATGTGGGACTCGATCCCAGGACCCTGGGATCATGACCTGAGCCGAAGGCAGATGCTTAACGACTGAGCCACCCATGCGCCCCTAAATATAAGTTCTTAAATAGGATTACTATGTCAGAGGATAGGAACAGTTTTAAGACTCTCATTGCATGTTACCAAGTTGCTTTCCAAAAGTTCCTTTCATTTTCAGCTTTTCTTTTAAGATTTTATTTATTTGAGAGCAAGAAAGAGCTGGCACAAGTTGTGGGGGGTAGGGGCAGAGGTAGAGGGAGAAGCAGGCTCCCCGCTGAGCAGGGAACCCTACTTGGGGCTCGATCCCAGGACACTGGGATCATGACCTGAGCTGAAGGCAGATGCTTAACCGACTGAGCCACCCAGGTGCCTCTTATTTTCAGCTTGCTTTTTTTTTTTTTTTAAAGATTTTATTTATTTATTTGACAGAGAGACACAGCGAGAGAGGGAACACAAGCAGGGGGAATGGGAGAGGGAGAAGCAGGCTTCCCGCTGAACAGAGAGCCCAATGCGGGCTTGATCCCAGGACCCCGGGATCATGACCTGAGCCGAAGGCATATGCCCAACGACTGACCCACCCAGGCACCCCTATTTTCAGCTTTCTTGATATCATTATATAAGTGTTTGGTACATATAAAAATGCTCTGCATTGTGAAGTTAACCTCTGGGTTTAGAAAGCATTGAAAAGACCTCCCAAAAAGGGGCACCTGGGTGGTTCAGTCCGTAGAGCGTGCTACTTTTAAGCTTAGAGTCATGAGTTCAAACCCCATGCTGGGTGTGGAGATTACTTAAAAATCTTAAAAAGGGGCGCCTGGGTGGCTCAGTCGTTAAGCATCTGCCTTTGGCTCAGGTTATGATCCCAAGGTCCTGGGATCGAGCCCCGCATCAGGCTCCCTGCTCAGTGGGAAGCCTGCTTCTCCCTCTCCCACTCCTCCTGCTTGTGTTTCCTCTCTCGCTGTGTCTCTCTCGGTCAAATAAATAAAATCTTAAAAAAAAAAAAACCTCTTAAAAATGGATTTGTTCATTCATGAAACAAGCTCTTACTGAGCATCTCTTATGTGCTGGGCATGGTGCTAGATGTTAGAAATAGTAAGAGCTTCTAATAAAGCCAAGTGAGGAGTTCCTAGGAAGTGAGTCCCCTGGGGAGAGAACTTGCAGCAAACTCAACCTAAACTCAATTCCTACTGGGAGGAGACGGGCCTGGGGAGCCCAGCAAAGTGGGAGTGCAGACACTGTTGAAGGGGAGACAGCTGATTGGGACCACGAAGGAATATGGCCCACGTTGTCAGACCCTCTGATTTCTCAGGAGAGCCTGGAAATGGAGGTCTTTAAAAACACTGTGAGCATGAACGCATTCGTGGGCTACTCCAGGCAGCGGCTGCCAGCGGGCAGTTTCCAGCAGTCACTGGTCTGCAGTAGGTGGATGTGGGGAATTGCTAAGGAGCATTCAGAGGAGAGGCAGAATGTTCCCTGGAGAAGTGGGCTGTCCCAGGTACTTGGGAGGTGGACAGGATGTCAGCGGAGAGGTCATGAATTGGTCTCAGACCGTGTGTCTTTTCCATAATAAACTTACCACACATAAGGTCATTGTATCATACAGCGTTCAGTCTGTCCCAGAGGGCGTCAGGGGACTCAGGACATTTGACCCTGTTCTTCCTTCCCTGTGGGGCCACACCCACGCCTGTACCTTGGGTTCTCAGCCCCCTCCTGCAAGTAGGTCACTTAGCAGCTCCCAGCCTCTGGAGACGAGGCGATGGTACGTGACAGGACTGAAGGCATCCTGAGCGTCGGGTCAGGTCTGCCCATCGGGCACATTCAGAGTGTGAGCTTGTAGTTCTGCCACAAAACTAGAACAGAAAACGGGGCCCTGAAACTAAGAGCCTGGGGGAAGAGGGGAGAGAGGAGAGAGTTCTTATTCTTTCTTCCCGAGGAGAGTGAATTAGCCTGTGGGAGAGTGGGACCGGGTGCTCCGCGGTCTCCAGGTTGTCCTTCCTCTGTGGCTGCCAGGAGCGCTAACCCCATCCGAGGAACGAGTTCCAGCCTAGACAGGCGGTGGGAGAGCTGTGATTGCTTGGAGGTAGGGCGTAGAGGAGCGGGGACAGAAGGCAGCTTAAAAATTTGCAGTCTTTTTAATCCGTTATTTAAATTATTGTGTTTTCTAAATTTTTGTGTTTTTTTTATGGTTATTTGTTACTTGTTTTTTATTAAGTAATCTTTATGCCCAATATGGGACTCAAACTCACAACCCCAGGGTCAAGAGTCCCATGCTCTACCGGCTGAGCCAGCCAGGCGCCCCTCTAAATTTGTTTTTCTTAATCTACACGCTCTTGATTTTCCAACTTGCTGCCCTTTTTGAGATGAAAAGCCTCTCTCAAATCTGCTCCCCTCTTTCCTCTAAGACCATGCTTCCTTGACACATGCCCAGTTCTAAATGCTTTTCTCCCTTTTCTCTCAGGGCAATTTTTTCCGTGTTGGACCTCATGAAAGTAGACATGGCGAACTTTGCCGTCACTAGCATTAGGCCGCATCTCATGCAGCAGTCCGTGGACTATGAAAGGAAGAAGTTTCAACAGCTTTTGGAGAAGCAACCAAGTACGTCTAATGCTTTGTGGTGTCCTGCACTCTGTTTTTCCATTTCAGGGCTGTAGCTGGTTGTACAACAATACTGTTTGCAAAATAAAACTAAAATTTTGTATGGGAGTGTTCTGATTTCAAGACCGAAAAGCACAAGACTTTGGACTTGACAATTGACAAGCAAGAGAAACAGAAGTAGAATATAAGAAAATAAATTTAAAAGAACAAAGAAGTCCTAAATTAAATAGGTTTTTAATGAGAACACCAGTTTGGGGTAAATTGTATGCTTGGCTTTGATCTTTAAAACATGACCGACTTCTTGTGACTATTTAATTCACTTTCCCCTCTCTTGGGGGTACATGAAGAAATTTTACTTTGCCTCCATTCTATATGCAGAAAATCTTCCTGGTTTTATACCCAGAAAAGGTCTCATTTTTATAAGCCTCTCCAATGATAGCAGGAGAAGAGAGGACTATAGAATCCAAAACTGTGTTGCATTTCTGGGGTGCTTTTTTGCGGGGGGGTTTCTGTATCGGCAGCTGATGTTCCTGGTAAATTACAGCCTTCGGATCCAATTTTTTTATTTAAGATTTTATTTACTTATTTGAGAGCGAGAGAGAGCACAAGCAGGGGGTAGGGCAGAGGGAGAGGGAGAAGCAGGCTCTCCGTGGAGCCGGGAGCCCGATGTGGGGCTCGATCCCAGGACCTTGAGATCATGACCTGAGCCAAAGGCAGATGGTCAACCAACTGACTGAGCCACGCAGGCGCCCCTGGGTCCAATTTATTTTGAGTTCCATTTAGCCCCTAACTTGGGTGATCAAAGAAGAAAATGGCAGTCTCTGGCTAGATTGTGTCGCCTGCCCAGAATAGTTCATGCAGCGCCCGGAGCAGTTGTCCATCCCGCCACACACAGAGAAGGAGGGGTCAAGAAAGAGAAGAGCAGAAGAAACAGTACCAGGAGAAGACTGGATGCTGTTCCCAGCACACACACAGGGCGTGTGCCCAGGGCGGGTGCATGATCAGAATAACCCTCGCACCATAAGCCTACGAGAGGCACACTATTTTTTTTTTAACCCCTTTTTATAAATGTGGACATCGATTTTGAGAAATTTTTGACCAGAATGATTGACCATCCAGTTCACTTTCTCAACCAGTGTTGTACTGCCCCTCAGGAGGCATCCAGGCTGGCCATTTTCCAGGCCAAAGAGCCTTTGTGTGAGAGTCGGGTGCCAGCAGCCAAGGCCCAGTGAAGGAGCCGCTGTTGTGGTCACTGAGCCGGTCAGGCTCCCCCTTCCTCCTCACGTGGACAAGCTGCTGGGCTACAGAGTGTGCCGCCTGCAGAAGGCTACTGGTGTGTTGACACAGGTGCATCCTGCGGCTGTGAAGAGTGGACACCCGCCATGTCCTTGGCCGCCCACTTGGCTTGAAGGTGACCTTCGCCGGCAGAGCCACAGCACGTTCCAGGAGCTGTCAGAGGGACTTTCTGTTCCAGACGCCGCAGAAGCCACGTCCTGGGGGTGGCAGAGCTCCCCTCCCATGAGACTGAAAGCAAACGAGCTTGATGGGAGACTCAGATCTAGACAAGGAAAAGCCTCATTTTCAGTGTGGAGGATACTTTATACTGGGAAACTCTCGCCAGTGTCTCTTCCTGTCTCTGGGCAAGAATTTTTGCATCTCACTGAGCTGGAGTGATCGGAGCCCCCAGCCTTGTCTCCTGCCGTGGTCGGGGTGGGAGTGAAGACCGTGGTTTTTTTGAACATCTGTAGGTGGCAAGGCTGGCCATGTGCTTTGTATTCACGATCTTGTTTAATCCTCGGAACTGCCTACGAGGTGGGATATTATCCATCTCTTTATATTAGAAATCTGATCATTCTTAGCTAGTAATTTGCAATACTGTGATTTTTTTTTATTTTTTTATTTTTTTAAAGATTTTATTTATTTATTTGACAGAGAGAGAGACAGTGAGAGCAGGAACACAAGCAGGGGGAGTGGGAGAGGGAGAAGCAGGCTTTCCGCTGAGCAGGGAGCCCGATGCGGGACTCGATCCCAGGACCCTGGGATCATGACCTGAGCCGAAGGCAGACGCTTAACGACTGAGCCACCCAGGCGCCCTGCAATACTGTGATTTAAACCGAGTTTTATTTGATTCCAAAGTCTGTGCTCTATATATACACCACACCTTCAGGATGATCTTCCCTAAAGTCATTCCGAGAAGCATCCCTCCTGAGCGTCATAGTAATGTTTGCAGCCTTGTGTTTCACAGATTCCCTGGACTTTGTCACCCAGTGGCTGGAAGAAGCTGCAGATGACCTTATGAATCAGAAGTACAAAAATGCTCTGCCAGCTGGGGGAGGGGCCGCTGGCTCTGGGGACGGTCCCATGCCAAATCCTGTGGCTGTCCAGAATTATGCATACCTGAAGCTTCTGAAATGGGACCACCTCCAGAGACCTTTCCCAGAAGTAGGTGCTCCAGAGCAGTCTAACTGCTCATTTCTTTTTGTGCTGCAGAACTTTTAAAAAATAATAGTTTTGTGATGATACAATTCTCTTACCAGGAAATTTCCCCTTTTAAATTGAACAATTCAGTGGTTTTTAGTTTATTTACAGTTAGAGGACCATTACCACGATTTAATGTCAAAACATTTTCATCACCCAAAAAAGACCCTGTGCCCATTAGCGGTCACTATCCTTTCCCCCCTCCCATACTCCTGGGCAGCCACTAATCTACTTCCTGTCTCCATGGATTTGCCTATTCTGGACAATTCTTATAAATGGGATCCTGCAATATTGGCCTTTTGTGTCTGGCTTCTTTGACTAAGCATAACGTTCCTCCAGGTTGTAGCATGTACCAGTACTTCATTTTTTTTTAAGATTTTATTCATTTGACAGCACAAGCAGAGGGAGTTGCAGGGAGAGGGAGAAGCAGACTCCCTGCTGAGCAGGGAGCCCGACTTGGGCTCAATCCCAGGACCCTGAGATCATGCCCTGAGCTGAAGGCAGACACTTAACCGACTGAGCCACCCAGGCACCCTAGTACTTCATTTTTTTTAAGTTGTATTTTTTTTACTCTAGAATATGCATAGTACAAAATTAAATACAAAAAAAAAATCTTTAAAAAAATTTTTAAGTAAGTGCTACACCCAGCGTGGGGCTGAAACTCCCAAGCCCCGGATCAGGAGTTGCATAGTCCACTGACTGAGCCAGCCAGGCGCCCCAAAATTCACTATCTTTATGTGTGCAGTTCAGGATGTTAAGGACTTTCTCATGGTTGGGCCACCATCACCACCATCCTTCTCCAGAACTTTTCCATCTTCACAAATTCAACTCTTTAAATACCTTTAAACACAACTCATGCCTCCCTCCCCCTTGCACCTGGCAACCACCATTCTCCTTTGTGTGTCTGGATCTGATGACTCTAGGTGCGTAATCTGAATAGAATCTTAACAGTATTTGTCCTTTTGTGTCTGGCTTATTTCACTCGGCGGATTGTCTTCAAGGTTCATCTGTGTGGTGGTGTGTGTCAGCATTTTCTTTTTAAGGCTGAACGATATTCTAGTGGTTGTCCCACATTTTGTTGAGTCCTTCATCAGTTGATAGACATTTGGGTTGCTTCTACTTTTTGGCTATTGTGAATTGTGCTGCTCTGAACGTTTGTGTACAGGTTTTGATGGGGGCACATGTTTGCAGTTCTCTTGGGTGAATACCTAGGCTGAGAATTGCTGGGTCACGCGGTGACTCGGAGTTTCCCTTGGAGGAACTGCCAGGCTGTTTTCCTGAGCAGCCACCTCCCTTTCCCGTCCCTCAGCAGCGTGTGGGCCTCCCAGTGTGTACTGCTGAGCCACTCTCCTGTTTTTACACAACCTGATTACAACCATAACAGTGATATTGCTTTTCAGTTGTATCTAAAAAATACTGCTTCCTGTTCCACGTGGAGCATAAAAAAATAAATAAAATAAAAGTTTTTCACAATAAATAATTCTAACTGCAGTGGTCCTTTAAGAAGACTGGCAAGGATTTCTCCCATTTTGTCTGTAACCTGCTGGTTTGGTGTGTAGACTCCCTCATTTTTGAGGGCACTCAGGCTTTTTATCTCTAGCCTCAGAAACTGCTACTTCTCTAAATCTTTCTCCTCTAAGTTCCTATTTTTCCTTTCAAGACGCTGTAAGCCTAAGGCTTCACTCTTGCCACTGAGTTCCCTGTTTCGCACCGAAGGAGGCTCTAAAGAGGGTGTCGTATTGAGCAGGTAGGGGAGGCTCCATTCCGAATAGTGGCACGTTCTCTTCCGGAGGGCAGTTCGCAGCCTGACATTTCTTTTAAAAATACCGCTGTGGGGAAGATGGTGTTTTTCACTGGATACCAATATCTACCCTGAGGATTGATCGTTGGAAATCTTTTGTATCCTAAAACCAAGTCCTGCACAAAGCTGGGATGCTGCTGTGTCACCAAGTGAAGTCAAGGAAGAGGCTGGGTCTGTGGAAGCATTTCTGTTTAACAACAGAGGATCCTGAATTTTCAAAGATAGTTTTCACTGCTTGAGAAGAATTCTAGGCTAAGACCCTAAATTGTTAATGTCTTGATTTGGTGTGTCAGTCTCTTATAGCAAGACTAGTCCTTAACATTTATTTGGTTCACCTGTAAAAACTCCTGTCGGAAGGTGTATTCATCAGCCCTTCCAGTGTTCTTTCCCTCATCCCACGCAGGGCACTTTGGCCTGGTAGGATGCACGGGTGTCTAGCATGGGGGATGCAGTCAGGGAAATCCACTCACTGCTTTCAGGGTGGCTTTGGATTGTTTTCTGTCATTCCTCCTTTTTTCTACTTTTTCTTTTTTGTTTTCTTTATTCACTCACCGATTCTTGAGGGCCTCCTTTGTGCTAGTGAGGGCAACAACAAGGTGAATCATGTAGGCTCTCTCTTCAAGCAGCTTCTCCCCTCCTTCCCTCCGGGGCTCTGGCTGGAGTGCTTGGCTGCCTGGTTTGCTCTGGACTGGGCGGGGGGTGGCGGGGGCGGGGGGTTGCTGTTCACAGGACTTGGGAGTTCCAGTTTTAAAGCCAGGACAGCCCGGGACAAACTGAGATGAGTTGGTCACTCTAGCTCCATATCTCATTACTCTTTTCCTGTCTCATGATAGAACTCCCAGTTATTGAGTGTTGGCTCTGCCAGCCCACTTTAGATCCATGGCCAGCCCTGTGAAGCAGGAATCCGTTTCGCACAGGGCTCAGAGGGTTGAAGAAATTTGCGTGAGGTTATACTGTGTTTCAGTGGCCATCTGCCTCCTGTTCTTAGTGAGTGCGCTCTATGGCAGTCTTCCTAAGGAGAAAGGGGCTCTGAGGGGCAAGGATGATTCACGCATGACTCCCTCAGCTCTGAAATGACTAGAAGATTCTGAGGGCACCTGTGGAGGCACGTGTGGGGCTGTGGCCCCACTGCCTCCTGCTGGCCGGCCTGCATCTCCCGCTCAGGGATGATTTCTGTTGTCTCCATTACAGACCGTTTTGATGGACCAGGCTCGCTTCCAAGAGCTCCAGCTCCAGCTGGAGCAGCTCACCATCCTGGGAGCCGTGTTGCTGGTCACGTTCAGCATGGCAGCCCCAGGAATTTCCAGCCAGGCCGACTTTGCTGAGAAACTCAAGATGATCGTGAAGGTTCTGCTGACAGATACGCATCTACCGTAAGTGGCCCCTGTGGGACGGATGGGAGGCAGCGGGTGGCCGAGAGCAGCCTGCAGGGGGGTCTCCCGGTGTGGGGATGCCCTGGGGCCGCTCTCTAGGAACTGAGAGGAAACTTTGCTCCCTGGTTTTTTCACCCCAGCAGAACTGATTCGGATTCATACGAACGGCGTTAGAGTCGATTCTAGGGTCTGCAGTGCTCTAGGAGAGTGGCTTTCACATTTTTAGGACCAGGACCCACAGTAAGAAATTCATTTTCCGCTGTGACCTAGTACACACTTCAAGCACACATGTAACTGAAATAAAAACTTCACAAAGTGAAACTTAACCTGAACCATGCTTAGCACAAATTCTTATAACATTAAAAAAAAAAAAACAACCTGGTTGCTGCCCACTGAAATGCTCTCACAACCCCCTAACAGTTTGGGCGGCACGGCCCTGGGAAAGGTCCTCTAAGAAGCGGGTGGTGTCCCCCCGAGTCGCTGGGCCGTGAGCAGTTTTGTGCCCTTGCCCGCTCCTCGCGGCCCCTTGTCCTGCGTGTAAATGCCTCAGTTCATCGGGCAGCACGAAGCCACCCCTGTGCGGGGCGGCGGCTGTGTCTGCTCCTGCGGAGATGTCCGCTCGGGTCCATGTGGTTCCCAGCCTACAGGATATTCTTTACCGGTTAGAAGTAAACACGGCCTCTGACAAGGCCCAGTTCAGAGGATTCCCGGAGGAGAATGTCCCCAGACGTTCTCATCCTTACGAAACGGAGGCATTTTCCTGCCAAGTTTGCACAAAGCGTGCCCATGCTTGGTGCGGTGAGGGGTGTGTGCACATGCTGGGTTAGGCCGGGAGGGGATTGCTGAGCTGAGGCCCCGGCACGGGGGCAGCCCTGGACTGCCACCGAGGTCCCCCCCCCGCCCCCTCCCCAGCAGACCTGGTTGTCTACTGCTTAAAGCTTTCGGTGAGGGGCCCTGTCTGGCACTTCCTTGGGGGGGGTCCCGCCCCGTGCTGCGGTACCCACCCTGGCTCTCAGGTTGGCACAGAGTTGGTACCAGCAGGGAGTCCCAGGGCTTGCACATTTGCTCCCATGGCTCCTGCTGTACAAAGGGTTTAGGCCCAGAACAAAGGCCTTATAGGAAACCCACCAGCAGGAGGGCTCCCCACCAATACGCCAGGAGAGCCCGAGGGCTCTGGACAATCAGGGTGCTCATTTTTTTTAACTTTGGGATTTCAGTGTTATGAATTCTTTTAAAGTGGTTAATACATTCCCATGGTTCACAAATCGAAAGGGACAGAAGGGTAACCAATGGAAAGTTTCCCTCCACTCCCGTCCCACAGCTCCCTGATTCTGGGTTCTTGTGTATCACTCAGCGGCATTCAAGATTCCAGGCTTAGTTCAGCACACAGATGCTAGCAAGAAGTTGGGTCTGGGGCTGTTAGCGCTGGTATAGTCTGAGCGCTTCCCTTCCCATTGTCCTTTCTAGCAGAGAGAGAGAGAGACTCCTGAGTCAGGTGTCCACAGCCTGGAAGGTTAGGGGCAGGGAAGAGAGTCCTAGACTTTCTCTTTGAACATGTCAGTCTACGAACTGACTCAGATTGTGACTCTTATCAGGGCTTGGTCTCGTAACTTGGCTTGAGCTTGGTGGATGTGCACTCTGCTTACGGGCTCTCTCTTCCCTGCCTTCTCCTTTCCCTTCTGTTACTCCAGCTCCTTCCATCTGAAGGACGCCCTGACTACCATTGGGGAGAAAGTCTGCCTGGAGGTGAGCAGCTGCCTTGCCCTGTGTGGGCTCACCCCCTTCACCATGGAAAAGGAGGCTGTGCTCAAGGGCCAGATCCAGGCTGTGGCCAGTCCCGACGACCCCATCCGCAGGATCATGGGTACGTTTTGGAGGGAAAAGATGGGCAGCAGGGATGTGCCCTTGGAGGGGCTGGCCGACCGGCCCCTCTGAAGAAATCTAGAAGGCTCTGATAGGTTCTGAGTGCTGATGAGTGAGGAAAGAGTGAGTAATCACCACCAATGAGCGTGACCCAAAGGTCTGGACAAGTGACCAGGCAGCTGTCATTGTTCTGAGGGCTCTGACTTAGGAATCACAGGCTTTGTTCAGAACCCTGCTCCAGCACTGTGAGGTAATAGAAAATGTAAGTATTGGTCTCTGCCCCCGTTCTAGCACAGGGCTCCTAAAATTCTTGTAATTTCCTAAGTGATAAGAGCACTAAGCGCATCTTTTGTTCTAAGATTGGTCTTTGACCTGGATCCTGACACAGAGCTCTTAAATCCTTTGGAATTTCCTGGGTGACAGGAGTGTCTTTTGTTCTAATGAGGCAACTCTGGGTGGGCTCTGAAAGATCAGGCCATGATTAGAAGCCTGGAATTTTCAGGTCCCCCCCGCCCCGCCCTTATCCTCCAAGAAAGGAGAGAGGGGCTGGAAATGTCTATGATGAAGCTGCCATAAATATCCCAGAAATACAGGTTCTGGGAGCTTCTGGGTTATCCATGTAATGGAAGGGTGATGGACCCCAACTCCACAAAAGCTCCTGCCCTCAGGACTCTCCCAGACCTCACCCTATGTGTCTTTTGTTCTGTTTTTCATCTGTATCCAAATCCTTTATTATGTAATAAGCTAGTAAACATACGTGTTTCCCTGAGTTTTGTGAGCTGTTCTAGCCAATAATCAAAATCCAGGGGAGAGGAGGTCATGGGACCCTCCAGTTTGTAGCCAAGTCAGACGGAAGCTGGGGGCGTCCTGGGGACCTACTGCTTGCAGTTGGCTTCTGAAATGGGGGTGGGGGGGCAGCCTCGTGGGACTGAGCCCCTGGCCTGTGGGATGTGAAACTCCCTCCAGGTAGTATCAGAATGGAGTACAATAGTAGGACACCCCACTGGTGTTGCAGAGAATCGCTTGGTGTGGGAAGCCCCTGCCCTCGCCCACATCTGTTGCTGGCGTGTTTGGGATGTGTGGTGAGAATGAAGGAGGAGCCGGGGTTTTCTTCACGAGCACCTGCTGTGTGGCTTGAGCAGGTGACCGGATGCTCCAGGTTCCTCATCTCTAAAAGGGATAAACCGGGACGCCTGGGTGCCTCAGTCGTTAAGCGTCTGCCTTCGGCTCAGGTCATGATCCCAGGGTCCTGGGATCGAGCCCCACATCGGGCTCCCTGCTCCGCGGGAAGCCTGCTTCTCCCTCTCCCTCTCCCCCTGCTTGTGCTCCCTCTCTCCCTATGTCTCTCCCTGTCAAATAAATAAAATCTTTAAAAAAAAAATAAAAGGGATAATACCAACAACCCTATACAGTTGCTGGGAAGACCACAGGGCATGAGGTCCATAAAGTGCTTATCAGAATATCCGTAGCCCATCACAAGTACTTGCTAGAGAGGAGCTGTTATTAAAAAGATTACTGTATTAGCTGTTACTCTTCATCATCCCAGCCATAGCACTGTGGAACATTCTGTTTGCTGTTGCTGGTTGATCGAGGAATACAGTGGTCATCTAATTTGGGGGCACCTGGCTGGCTCAGAGCACGTGACTCTTGATCTCGGGGTTGTAAGTTCAAGCCCCATGTTGAGTATAGAGATTACTTAAAAATAAAATCTTTAAAAAATTTTTTTCATCTAGGGGCTCCTGGCTGGCTCAGTTGGTTAAGCGTCGACTGTTGATTTCGGCTCAGGCCATGATCTCAAGGTTGTGAGATCGAGCCCGGAGGTGGGCCCCATGCTTAACAGGGAGTCTGCTTGAGATTCTGTCTCTCCTCTCCCTCTGCGTCTCCCCCACAACTTGGACTTGCTCACTCGCTTGCTCTCTCAAATAAATCTTTAAAACATTTTTTCATATAATTTTTAAAACTACTCTATTTCTCTTTAGTGTAATTAATTTTGAAGTCATTCTTTAGTTTCTTTATGAAACTAAATAGGTGTTCAACATAGAAATAATGAATAGTTAGCAGGCTTCAAGCAAAAGCTGAATGACCTGTGGTTATCAGATTTCAGGTTGGAGTAGAGGCTAAACCAGTGACGTGAGCCAGCTTCTAACACTATGACTTCCTTTTTATCCTTAAGTAATATTTGATGGAAAAAGTTACAGGGATCGACGGTTTTTTCAAAATGACTTCATCCCAGCCCTGCATCGGTCACGATGTCGTCTGTGGGTCACTCAGGAGGAGCCTCTTGCAGATAGAAGGACCATCAAGATTAATATTAGTGACTTTGGTAGAGATGCAGGAACGTGCCGTAAATAAACCACCGGCTAACAAGCTGCTCCGCGTCCTGCCATGTTGGGTGCTGAGTAACAGGTGGTCACAGACCTGGAGCTAAAAACCAGCCCTGGGGTAGGAATGATCCGAGGATCTCCAGTTCCATGTGGGGCTTCCAGCTCTGAGAACCTTAGAAAACCAAACTAACTTGGCAACAGGGGTGATGGGACCCATCTGGGCAGCAGTTGCTTTGTCACTGTGTATTGCGGTCTGAAGGGCGTAGGTCATTTGCACCTGAGAGGGTCCCACAGGCGTGCAGTTTGAAAGAACTCGGTGACTATAAATGCCCCTATTGCTTTCGTAAGAAAATCTGTGAGGGTTGATGACCATGCAAAAGCGTCCTAGAGAGGAATGGCTTAAAAAGCAGTAACCTAAATTATTCCTCAGAGTAGTACAAGTTGGCAGGTGGCCACACCTCCGTGGAAGCGTTAAAGAAGAACGTTCACACTGCTTACATGTGGGCTTGGTGGGAAAAGCTCACAGACCCACAATGCTAGAATCTTTTTTTTTCCATTTCTCAACTTATAATTCCTGCTTTACCCCCCACCTTCCCGCCCCCCGGGCCCCATTTTTTATGTGCTCTTCAGCAATGGTTCATGGTGGTCTCAGTGTGTCTCTCTCCTCAGAGCAGAACCTGTCAACACTTCAGTCTCCTTGTATTGATTCACGCATTTATTCTTCCTTTCCAGATGTATTTTGAGCTTCTCCTGGGGCCAGGTCTCCTGCCAGGCCATGGGCTGAGTGCTGGCGGGGAGGTGGGGTGGGGGGGCGGGGGGATTACGAACAGGATAAGCGTGCTTCTACCCTCGTGAAACTAACCATCTAGAGCGGGAGAGGAAGTGTTCTAAATGGGCTGAATGTTCGAAGTGCACAGTGCTGTGGGTACCTGGTCTAGGGGGTGGGCAGGGAGGACTTCCCCGGAAAAGGGATGTTTAAGCTAAAAACTGAAGCATAATCAGAAGTTTGCAAAGTCACCCTGAACAAGAAAGAGCCAACTGCTTTCTTTTCTATCACAGATTCCCGAATCCTGATCTTCTTAGAAGGCTACCTTGCCTCAGGGCATCAGAAGCCATTGCCCACGGTCCCTGGGGGATTGGGTCCAGTTCAGAAAGAGCTGGAAGAAGTTGCTATTAAATTTGTCCGCCTGGTCAACTATAACAAGATGGTCTTCAGTCCCTACTACGATGCCATCCTCAGTAAGATCCTTGTCCGATCCTAACACGTATGCGCTCTAGGCTGCAGCAGTATTAGCCTCTTGATACAGAATACCTATTCTCAACTCTAGTGTTGCTTTGGAAAATGGCTATTTAGTACATTTCTATGTAACAGCCCTGATTCCAAAAGGAAGAACACTGTGTATCACTGTTGATAAGAGTTGTTGACAAAGGCACTGAATTCTAGTTTGAAGGTTTGTATTTATGAGTGCAAGTTTACAAATCAAGAAGCTTCTTGTTCTCTTAAGTTTGAGGTAGCACTCCGCTTTTAAACGGTTGACTGCCGTGTGTCTCCACTCGACTCTGTCCTGATTCGAGCTGCCTTGTCTTTCCCAGGGGGCTGGGGCCTCTCTTCCACCATCTGAATAGTGTTCCTTTGAGACACCCGAGAGGATCTGCCAGCCACCCAAGAAAGAGTGACCAATCCATGACTGTGTTGAGACTCATGCCCCTCCCTGGCACCGGCCCTCACTCTTTCCTCCAGCTATTTTGTGTTAGAAGGGCTATCCCTAGTCTTACGGCCTCCCCCCACCCCAGTGATTGCTTTCTCCCTGCCTGGCCTAGGCAGAGCCCCCAGGCGCCAGAGCCCTTTTGTTCTAGAGGGGAGTTAATTGATTTTAAAAAGCTTATTCTTTTATACAGAATCATTCCTGAGTCTGGATGATAGCAGTTATGACTTCTGGGATCTAGAGAAAGGAAATTCTTTGACTTTTAAGCTTTGAAAGTTAAGGAGGAAATATTTTTTTAAACAATATATATGTTGGTGTAATTTAAAGGACAGATGCCTGGAGTTTTTACTGAAAAATTCACTGATACAATATACAGATGTATTGATTGGATTTGAATTTCAGAAATAGATTTAAGTGTTTTCAGATAAAACAGTATAGTGTAAGCTCACTTATTTTTTGGATAAGGAAGTCATAGAAAATCCCTGGTTTTAGAGCAGTATTTTTTTGAGGAACTTCAGTGACCAGAATTCCTGACATATCCTGTGGCTGAAAGGGTAGCTGGGGTCTCACCGATGACCCACTCTGTTAAAAAAAAAAAAAAAAAGTAAAAGGCATGTGTGCGTGTTTTAGACAGGGACATTATATTAGAAGCAGAGCCATGAAGTTGGGAGTGAACTCCAAGTGCGGGAACAGCACAAGGCAAAATAATGCAAGGAATCCCTTAAAGCGGTGAGGGCTATGGTGGGGCGGGAGGCAGGCGTGATGGCAGGTGCGGTGGCAGCCCACCAGAGGAATGTTCGCTCTGTAGACTATCGAGTCGTACCAAACTTCAGGAGAGGGTATGCTTATGTTGGGGGACTGTGATTTCTCCAAATACATGCTACGAACTGTGTTCTAATGGTATTTTCTACTTGCAGTCAGAAATGTATGCTGCATTATGTGGTCCGAAGTCCTATTATTAAAGTTTATACTCAAGGACAGGTCTTCCCTGGTTTCATTGGAAGGGAATAAAAGTTCAATAAGTAGAACTTTTAAAGCACAAAATCACATCTTTTATAGTGTCTTCAAAGGAGGTCACTTCTGGAATTGTTTCTGGAGGTAAGGTTGCTCTGTGGCAGCTGTGCTTGTTGGTCATGTGGTACCCCTCTCTCCCCAGGCTGAGAAGCCCGAGCACTCTAAGTCAGCTCCATGCCCAACACGGCCCTTGAACTCACAACCCCGGGATCGGGAGTCACATGCTCTACCGACTCAGCCTCCAGCCACCCGCCCCCGCCCCCCCAAGCACTCTTTTGCCTGCCTCAGCCTCCGAGAGTGTTTGGGGTTTAGTGCCACCTCTGCCAAGGACGAAGGGGAAGAGCTTTACCCCCTAATACACAGGGTGGATCAGCACTTCCTGTAGTCACTCTTCCTAAATTTTAATTCTTTTTTTTTTTTTGCTTTCTTTTCTAAGGGTTAGCTTTTTACAAGATTTGACTTTTTTTTTTTTTTTTTTTTTGCCCCTCATTGGTTCCTAAATTCAGAGTTAAGTTTGTACCATCTGAAATCTTGATGCATATTTTACAGGGACCCACACAGACTCTAATGCCCCCACTCTCCCCCCCCCCCCGCAGTGTCCACTGGTGGAGTTCTCCAAGTGGCAAAGCCAAGAATGAAGGAGGCAAAGTTCAGAATCATAATATTCATATTGAATTGTGTTGTTGTTCTTTGAAGATAAGTGAGCTACTTTCTTCTTGGAATCTCATAGGATTATCACTAAAGGCCAGGAAAAATCATTTAGTCACTCAGGAAATATTTGTTGAGCATCTCCTTGTAATCTGCCCCCCCACCCCAGCTCTCCCTCCAAGATATGTATCCTTTGGAGCAGAAATTATCCTTCAGAATTGACCTGGTTCTATATAATGCATTCTGATTGGATTTGACATGATTTTCTATCTAACAGGTTTGTGGAAACAAGCGTCTTTTAGGGAAGTGCTAGGTTTATTTGGCGGTAGTACTTTACTGTGGCTAGAACTGAGCACCTTGAGAGTTTGGTCCATCAGAGCAGGTGTGTTCGATCGATTTATCTGATGGCCTCACGAATGAATGAATGTCCAGAGCAGGAACTGCTACTTTGTCAGCTCTTTGTTGGGTGGATGGATTCTCAGCCTAGAATTTTTTTGAAAATCTCATTACGTTTAAAGCAAGGTGTACCATGCGATTGTTTATGTAACCATATAGCCCGACTATAAATATACTTCAGGTAAGGATGTCTTACCGACTAAGTGCAGTAGGCAAGTGCTTAAGAGTTTTTCTCTGAAGAAAAGTTATGAATAAGTCTGACACAGCAGGGATATAATGTGCACACACTGGCTGACGATTAATGGAGTATTTAGCAGTTCTGTTTTTGTGGAGGTGCCTCTGTTCATCTCTCTAAAACCCTAAGATTCCTGGGAATAAAGAGGTGTTGCCGTACCACCTTTCCTGCTGAGTTACAAAGGGAATGAATAGGTGTTTGCTGTTTGATTCCCAGTGCCTTTTGGCATGCTCTGGTTTCTGTGTAGATCAATTGTATTAATTTTCATTTTGAGGCTGGGTGGTAGAGTGGAAAGACCGGGAGCTGTCAGGAAACCAGAGTTCTGAGCCCATTTCTGTTACATACTCACTGGGGCAAATCAGGACCTATTTCCAGCACATGTAACATGAAAGGACTAGAGTTGATCTTTGAACTGCCTTCCAACCCTGACATTCTGTGATGTGTCTCATTTGAGTAACTTAAGTACACTGCAGTAGGATCATGCACAGAGCTCCCGACTTAGAGGACGGTCTGGGTTGGAGTCCTTCCTCTCTTGCCTTCTCACTGGTTGTGCGATACTGGGCCAGTCCTTGTCCCTTGGGCCCCAGCATTTTCATCTGTAAAATGGGGAAACGACTCGTTGACACTTGCCGTGAGGATTACCTTTGATAATGGGTATTAGAATGCTTTGTATGTGGGAAAGGGCTATAACTAGGAGGAGCGCGTATAACCGTCTCCCCGCAGAGGTGGACCTGTGTCTGTGCCCAGCCCCCCTCAGCCAGCGTATCCCACAGGCTGCACGGAACGGTTCCCGCCTGTCCTGGGACGCATACCTTCTTCTGTCATCTCTTCTGTACTGAAGCAGTGGACTTCCCTCCACTCCTCTCCCTGCTTCCACCGCCACCCCGCTGATTCCTCCCCACCTCACCTCGGTATTATTTGAACCAATTGAATGCATGAGTGAACAAATGAAGGACGGCAGATGATGGGCTATGAACCTCCTATTTAAAGGCACTTATCTCATTGAAAACGTAATCTAAATAAAGAACCACAGTGATGTTTGCAATTGTGTCTTTATATTGGATTTTGTATTCTGTAACTGTTTTGTTCCTAGCGCTCAAAACAACTTCATGGAACGGAGGAGATACTCTGTAAGCTCAATAAGCTCTTGTAATCTGTCAAATGCTCACTGATCCTTTCCGAAATAGCTAAAGCCCCGGAAAGTAAGTGTCTGGAACCTAAACGGGCAGGATTTAGTTGCACCTGGCCCTGCTGGGGGTTTCTGTTTATATTGCCTTCGGAACCTAAGAACCAGGACTCGTGTAGGCCTGGTTTAGGTTTGAAATCACATGTGTCTGGAATTAGTAGCACAAGTCACAGTTCACCATTTTTACATTTTATCTGAACTAAACACTGAGAAGGGTGTGAGAGTAACTTCTGACTTCAAGAGCAACCCCAAAGTTGAAGAAGCTCCTTCATTTCTGCCGTTTTCATTCCTGCCGCCTCTGCTTTCTGAAGTGCTGTCTTCGTCATGCTAAAAGCAGAACTCTGGTCAGGGCTCAGGGAGGAAAATTTAGAAAATGGATGAATTTTGTCTTGACTTTTATTCTCAAAGCTTGGTAAGCTGACCCTTTTGTTGAATATGTAAGATTTTACTTAGACCAGGAACATGGTATCTGTTTTGTTACTTCGTATAAATGGTCTGTCAGGACTTCTGAATTTTTTATTCAATAGAACTTCACTTAAAAAAATAAGAATAAATAGAACTTCATTTGCTGAGTGTCAGGTAAGAGGACTACCGACATTAATGAAGTTTGCTTTGGGAACTGAAATGTAAAAAACAAATTTATGAACATGGTAAATACGTTCTTACTGTCGTATAAACGCTTGGTTTTACATGCTAAGCACAGGCCAACAGAGGGTTATAAAATTACCAAATAAATTCACAATTATTGACCAAGGTTAAAATGCTGACAAAAGTATTTTTTCATTCTTTTCTAATGGTACAAATTTGGTTGTTGAGTTTTACATTTACTAGGTAGCTACAACCTTTTACTTTACGAGATGTGGCAGCATAGATAAAACCTCTTACTTGAAATTCAGTGCTAAAGGCTAGAGTTTGACTGATGTTGTTCAGGAAGGACTTAAGAGTCCTTACATCTTACCTGGTTCTAGAATTCTCTAGAAAATGTCATTGCTTTTATAAGAAGGAAGAATATGGGTATCTTTTGAAAATTTCTGAGTCTGGCACTACAGATATAGGAGAGTTCCTGGACAAGTGGGACTGGCTGTGAGTGTCTGCACATTAGAGTTCCAAAAGTAAGTGCAGATTTCTAACATCATGCTGTTTGATCAACTGTGTCTACAAAAGGAATGATCAAATACTCAGAATCATGTTAAAATCTAAAAATTCATATAATATCTGTAGCAGAACATTAGAAAATGGTTTCTCCTAACAAAAAATCCTTTTTGTGTTTAAAGATCAAATAACATTCAGGGGAAAAACATCTTAGAAATAAATG